ACGGACGGAAAGACGGACATGGCTAGATCGACTCTCCTGGTGAAGCTGATATATGATATATGTATACTTTATAGGGTCGGAAATATCTCCTTCACTGCATTGCAAACTTTTGACTGAAATTATAATACCCGCTGCAAGGGTATAAAAAGAACAATGTTTTATTTGCCTTTAGAAAATTTTGAGAGACCCCATTACAAAAATCTAACCCTTCAAAGATTTACAGTTCAAAGTTGACTGTATTAAGGTTTTGTAAGATCACTATATTTATACCCTTGCAGAGGGTATTATAATTTTGGTCAAAAGTGTGCAACGCAGTGAAGGAGACATCTCCGACCCTATAAAGTATATATATTCTTGATCAGGATCACCTCCTGAGTTGATATAGCCATGTCCGTCTGTCCGTCTGTCCGTCCGTCCGTCTGTCCGTCTGTCCGTCTGTCCGTCTGTCTGTCCGTCTGTCTGTTTCTACGCGAACTAGTCTCTCAGTTTTAAAGATATCGAATTGAAACTTTGCACACACCCTTATTTCCTTTGCACGCAGTATATAAGTCGGAACGGCCGGGATCGGCCGACTATATCCTATAGCTGCCATATAACTGATTGATCGGAAATGCCATAACTCTGCTGTTTGTTAAGTTAGGAAGTTGGGACTCTCTATGGGTATTATATTTGGCCAATCAATCCGACGTACCAAATTTCATAAGGATCGGCCGACTATATCCTATAGCTGTCATATAACTGATTGATCGGAAATGCCATAACTCTGCTGTTTGTTAAGTTAGGAAGTTGGGACTCTCTATGGGTATTATATTTGGCCAATCAATCCGACGTACCAAATTTCATAAGGATCGGCCGACTATATCCTATAGCTGTCATATAACTGATTGATCGGAAATGCCATAACTTTAGTGTTTGTTAAGTTAGGAAGTTGGGATTTTCTATGGGTTTTATTTTTGCCCAATCAATCCGACATATCAAATTTCATAAGGATCGGCCGACTATATTCTATAGCTGCCATATAACTGATTGATCGGAAATGCCATAACTTTAGTGTTTGTTAAGTTAGGAAGTTGGGATTTTCTATGGGTTTTATTTTTGCCCAATCAATCCGACATATCAAATTTCATAAGGATCGGCCGACTATATTCTATAGCTGCCATATACATAACTGAACGATTGGAAATGCCATAACTTTGGTGTTTTTAAAGTTAGGAAGTTGGGATTTTTTATGAGAATTAAGAACGCATCATATGAATAATTTTGGAGAATATAATTTGCAGAATATTCTGCAAGGGTATTTCAACTTCGGCTCCGCCCGAAGTTAGCTTTCCTTTCTTGTTTTAGGTCATTTTGTCTGCTTTAAGATAGTATATCTGAAAAGCTAGTTAATCGTCATTATACCCTTGCAGAGGGTATTATAATTTTGGTCAAAAGTGTGCAACGCAGTGAAGGAGACATCTCCGACCCTATAAAGTATATATATTCTTGATCAGGATCACCTCCTGAGTTGATATAGCCATGCCGTCTGTCCGTCTGTCCGTCTGTCCGTCTGTCCGTCTGTCCGTCTGTCTGTCCGTCTGTCGTTTCTACGCGAACTAGTCTCTCAGTTTTAAAGATATCGAATGAAACTTGCACACACCCTTCTTTCCTTTGCACGCAGTATATAAGTCGGAACGGCCGGGATCGGCCGACTATATCCTATAGCTGCCATATAACTGATTGATCGGAAATGCCATAACTCTGCTGTTTGTTAGGTTAGGAAGTTGGGACTTTCTATGGGTTTTATGCAATCAATCCGACGTACCAAATTTCATAAGGATCGGCCGACTATATCTTATAGCTGCCATATAACTGATTGATCGGAAATGCCATAACTTTGGTGTTTGTAAAGTTAGAAAGTTGGGATTTTCTATGGGTTTTATATTTGGCCAGTCAATCCGACGTACCAAATTTCATAAGGATCGGCCGACTATATCTTATAGCTGCCATATAACTGATTGATCGGAAATGCCATAACTTTGGTGTTTGTAAAGTTAGGAAGTTGGGATTTTCTATGGGTTTTATATTTGGCCAATCAATCCGACGTACCAAATTTCATAAGGATCGGCCGACTATATCTTATAGCTGCCATATAACTGATTGATCGGAAATGCCATAACTTTGGTGTTTGTTAAGTTAGGAAGTTGGGATTTTCTATGGGTTTTATTTTGCCTAATCAATCCGACATATCAAATTTCATAAGGATCGGCCGACTATATTCTATAACTGCCATATAACTGAACGATTGGAAATGCCATAACTTTAGTGTTTTTAAAGTTAGGAAATTGGGATTTTTTATGAGTATTAAGAATGCATTATGAATGATTTTGGAGAATATAATTTGCAGAATATTCTGCAAGGGTATTTCAACTTCGGCTCCGCCCGAAGTTAGCTTTCCTTTCTTGTTTTATTTGTATTTTGTTGTGTTTAATTAGCGTGTAATAAAAAACATACTGTTTGCATTGTGGTTCTCCAGGCTTATCTAAACTTGACAACTGACACACTTTCTAATTATTTTATTTGATATTCTTCTTAATATTTGAAGAGTTTAAGCTGCATCTGTATGCGATTTGTAATGCTTGAGGCAAACAATGTTAGGAAGACTGGCACCGAAATTGTATTATATACTTCCTTAGTAAAATCAATAATTGCATCCATGGATACCAGTTACTATAAATAAGCAGGTCTATAAAAGTAAGCATCCAATATCAGTATTACCCCATCTTATTTGAACACATGCATAATAAACATGAGGCACTAAACCGAATCACTGCATGTGGTAATCAATCAAAAAGATTGGGAATGATCTTGAATGTTTTAAGCTGTATCAGTTAGGGGAATTTAATCCACAGAATAAATGGCCATAACAATCCATAAAATATTAGCTTCGCTTGCGCAGATCAAGTTAAAAACTTATATATATATCTTATTAGAATTTAACGAAAAAACATTTTAACAGTGTTATTTACCTAAATTTTGCGCGTTGATGATAAAATTGAATAAAGGCATAAAACCAGAAATAACCAAGAGTTTGGGTTCCTAATTTCCCAAATTAATTTTTCTACAAATTCCTTGTGACTATATGCTTTAACAATTATAAGAGCAAGCATAGTCAAACCAACTCCAAATCATTACAATTAAACGTGTTAAACTTTGTCATGCCGAAGTTTATATATCCTTGCAAAATATTTTATAGAAATAATTAAAAGCTTAAACTGCAACAGTTAAAAATGATCATATATGTTGTGACATCTAGATACCCGTTACTCAGCTAAACAACTTTAGATTTTGCATTAACATAATGTGAATTAGAGTGACCACAGGAAAAAATGACAAAAAGTTCAAATTATCAATTTGAATTAGGCGATCTCTTAGCGCTGGCAGCTTTACAGCACGAGCATCAGCACCAGCGCTGCTTTAGCGCAGGCAGCTTTTGTCCTGCACCAGCATACACACATACGCATTGTTTGACTCAGACCTTCAATTTGGCTAACTTGATTTGAGTTGCATAGTTCTTGGGATATAGTTCGGTATTGACAAATGAAAACCATCGCAATTTCCTTTAATAGAAATCCTTATCGAGAATTAACGTTGACTCTGTTGAGCACCTTGGCCAGCTGTTCCAAAGTCATCCGTTAGATGGCGCTATTGTATTGCGCCATCTACCCCAAGACATTGGTACCACGGGCCATGAAAGGCGGATATGTAGGCGCTAGCCAGGCTTTAGCGTTTAATGAGTTTTTGGGCGTTAGAGTGGGCGTGGCAAACTTTTATTAGGCTAATTGATAGGTATTGACGAAACAAATACATATCAATTAAAATTTTCATAATAGCATCAAAACTGTGGCCAGAGCTTGTGGCTTGTAGGCGTCAGAGGGGGCGTGGCACCATTTTGAAACAAACTTGCGCTGCGTAGGAACTCCTAAAATCTACATGCAAAATGCCAATCTTCTAGCTTTTGTAGTTTCCGAGATCTCAGCGTTCATACGGACGGACAGACAGACGGACATGGCTAGTGATCCTGAACATGAATATATATACTTTATAGGGTCGGAAACGCTTCCTTCTACCTGTTACATACTTTTGCACGAATACAATATACCCTTTTACTCTACGAGTAACGGGTATAAAAACTATATCTCTGATTATGTTTAAAAAACACGAATTTCTGTGGACTTGCATGTAATTTTCTTTTCTTTCACACGACAGCTATGTGATATAGAACTAAAACCGTGATTCTAAAATCGTTAAAATTATTATATAACTTGGAGGATATGGGTAAATGTTACGAATTTTTTTTAAATTTTATTTCCTTTATTTTCCAGATTGATCCTATCCAGCTATATGATATAGTCTTTAGCATAATTTTTCACATAATCAGTGAGGCTAGAAATTCTTATCAAAAAATTTTATATACTAAAATTTATCAAATTAAAAATGAAAAATTATTTAATTTAATGTACATTAGAATCCGGTTATAACGACTCCGGTTATTGCGACGAAAACTTGATGGCTTGGTTGGACCCCATGCAAACTTATATGGTTAGTGCGTCTTCCGGGTATAACGACGTAAAATCGTCGGCCCCTTGAAATTCGCTATAACCAGATTTTACTGTATTTATTATTTGATACCTAAAAATTACTAAATTAAATATATAACGCAACTTATGGATTAACTATTTTAGAAGTATGGTGAGGAAGTAGTTAAATTAAAAAAATTTAATTTGTATTTAATGTTTCTTATATTTAATTTATGTATTTCATTTTTGATACAATAAACAGTATTTTAAAGTACGACGACAAGTTAAAACCGATTTTAGTGACAACGAGATTTTGTTTTGGGAAACATGTTTATAAGTTGGTCCTTGAAAATAGTTTACCTTTCTTGTTCAACTTAGCTTTATAGTGTAAAAAAAACTTTATCACAATTTTGGAGTATTAATTTCTTATCAATATTTCAGTATCACGTCTCATGAGTTCGTCAGCCAGTGGGTCGATGAGCCATATGGGAAATATGGGTGGACTAGCAGCTTGCAGCGTAAGCGATACAAAACCGCTACAGTTTCCCTTGGCCCAAAGAAGAAAGCGGAGAGTTTTATTTACGCAAGCTCAGGTTAGTAAAATTAATTAAAATTAATCTGATACTATTAATATAGCCAATGCAATTTAACAACAGTTAAAATATATATTTTGTGTAAAATACGTTCTGCTTTAAAGACTTAAATAACAAATTTAAATACAGTTATGAACTAACACCCATAAATAAAGTCAATAATTAGTAAAACAGTTAAGAAGACATATCCGACTTTATAAATCATAGATGCACATAATTGATCAGCATCACCCGCCAAATGTAGGTCGTCTTTGGATGACTAGCCATTTTACAAAATATTATTATTTTAAAATAAAATTTAAAGGATTTTCTTCTTGGCGGAGTGTAAATCAGCTAGCTTGTCTGCACGTTTGTTTCAGTAAACCTTATTCTTAGTTAAAGTTTTCCAATCGGAAATTTATTAAATACAAATTTTTTGTTTTTAGATATACAACATCGCGCAAAAACAATATAATCATAAAAAAACTTTAAAAACACCAAAGTTATGGCATTTCCGATTAATCAGTTATATGGCAGCTATAGGATATGGTCGGCTGATCAAGGCCGTTCCGACTTATATACTGCGTGCAAAGGAAAGAAGGGTGTGTGCAAAGATTCAATTCGATATCATTAAAAATGAGAGACTAGTTCGCGTAGAAACAGTCAGACGGACAGACGGACATGCTTATAATATATAATTGAATAAATATACATACTTTATAGGGTCTGAGATGTCTCCTTCACTGCGTTGCACTCTTTTGACCAAAATTATAACACCCTTTGCAAGGGTATAAAAACGCAAATAAAAATTTGCAAAAAAAAATTTCTAAGAAAACAGTGAAAAAGTTTTTAATAAATTTCTTTATGGCTAAAAATATCGTTCTTTGCTGGCAAAAGTAAATAAAATACACAAAAAATAATAAAATTATAAAATAATAAAATTCTTAAGTGGTTGCCGAGGGTTTAATGGCAAAAATTAAAAAGAAGCGTCTAAATAACAAAACAAAATTCCTCGAACTATGTATATTTCGAAAGTAAGGCCCGGAACAGGTCTCGAAACTAGATTCCGCGAAGATTTTTCGGAAGTAAAAACTAGGTCTGGACAGATTATAAATTATTCCTTAACATGCATAAATTAACAATATTTTTAATGTAAGCTTAAAATTTCGTAGAAATTATGGGAAACGACTTCTAAAATATATAAACTTTTCTTCTAACAAGAAAGGAAAGCTAACTTCGGGCGGAGCCGAAGTTGAAATACCCTTGCAGAATATTCTGTAAATTATATTCTCCAAAATTATTCATATGATGCATTCTTAACACTCATAAAAATCCCAACTTCCTAACTTTAAAAACACCAAAGTTATGGAATTTCCAATCGTTCAGTTATATGGCAGCTAAAGAATATAGTCGGCCGATCCCTATGGTATGTCGGATTGATTTGCCAAAAATAAAACCCATAGAAAATCCCAACTTCCTAACTTAACAAACACCAAAGTTATGGAATATCCGATCAATCAGTTATATGGCGGCTATATGATATAGTCGGCCGATCCCGGCCGTTCCGACTTATATACTGTGTGCGAAGGAAAGAAGGGTGTGTGCAAAGTTTCAATTCAATATCTTTTAAACTGAGAGACTAGTTCGCGTAGATACAGACAGACGGACAGACAGACGGACAGACGGACATGCTTATATCAACTCAGGGGGTGATCCTGATCAAGAATATATATACTTTATAGGGTCGGAGATGTCTCCTTCACTGCGTTGCACACTTTTGACCAAAATTATAATACCCTCTGCAAGGGTATAAAAAGAAAAATGTAAAAGTTTAATTTTTATTTATTTCAACATAAAGATTAGTTGAGCCGCTATAGGAAGAAACGAAAAATGTATTCAACACATCCTAAAATCGATTCTTAGTTATAGGATACAAGAATTATAAGATAATTTGTGTTATAGCTGTAAGGGCCTATAAACCCTGGGTTGCCGAAGTTTACTTTCTGTTTTATGTTTCAATATTATGCTTTTTGTCTACTAAAGTTTTAGCATAAGAGTTTAAAATCAAGGTCAAGCCATTTTGTCTATGACAGTTAAATTACAACTTATAATTTATTGTTACAAAAATGCTTTAAACGATAAAGGGCGATACTGGCACTATAATTTCTTTGTATTTAGGGAACATATATAATTCTTTCACATTGAGTTTAAAAGCTTATAACCAAATGACAGAGCAAAATACAGTGGTGTCCCATCCTAGAGATGTCTCCACGTAAGTATTTTTACGTGGGCACATGGTTACCAAACAGTAGTAAGAAACGTACTGCTAGAGCAAACAAGCTTTTGCACAATGTAAATACAAAACTCATAATAATATTTGTATTTATATAAGCCTTCAAGTCTTCAAGTGTAAGGTAAATACAAAATACGTTTTTCATTAATACATTCTCAATATTTGAGATGGATTTTACTTTGCGTTTCTCTGAAAAAAAAAGTTTAAATGAACAAGAAAGAAGTCCAAATCCGTCAAGCCAAAGTTTATATACCCTTGTTTATGAAAAGACTATATATTAAATTGTATCTTTAAAATATTAAATTTAATATTTTATATAAAGAAGATTATATCGATTTGTAGACATACTCCTACTCCTAAATTTTTAAATATATTTTTTCAATCGATTCTATGACAGCACATATTTGTCAGCTGTACGATATAGTCAACTGACTTTTATAAAATAAATTCGGATTTTTGAAAATGTTAAAATGGCTATATCGGGGAGTAAATGTGTATATATTTAAAGATAATCAAGCTATAACAACTGTATCTCATCTTATCAGTCAATATACCTAAATAAGACTTTGGGATCTATACAGTTTTTAATAAACCACAAGATATTTAAAATATTTTAAAGTTAAAAAAGGAAATTTGGTTTATAAAATGTTCATTTCTCAGTAATAGTAAATAAGTATATTTTATAGGTTCGGAAATGTGCCTGTTTATGCATTGCAAACTTTTGACTGGAAATAGAATAAATTAAAAACATCAGATTTACAAATTTAATTTTCTTCACTGGTACATATTCAAACACAAAATATTTTTATACCCTTGCAGAGGGTATTATAATTTCAGTCAAAAGTTTGCAACGCAGTGAAGGAGACATTTCCGACCCTATAAAGTATATATATTCTTGATCAGCATCACCAGGAGAGTCGATCTAGCCATGTCCGTCTGTCCGTCTGTCCGTTTCCACGCAAACTAGTCCCTCAGTTTTAAAGCTATCTGCTTGAATCTTTCCCAAAAGTTGTCTTTCTATTGCAGGTAGTATATAAGTCGAAACGAGCCGGATCGGGCGACTATATCTTATAGCTGCCATATAACTGAACGATTGGAAATGCCATAACTTTGGTGATTTTAAAATTAGGAAGTTGGAATAATTTTGGAGAATATAATTTACATAGTATGCTGCAAGGGTATATCAACTTCGGCTCTGCCCGAAGTTAGCTTTCCTTTCTTTTTTTATTTGTTGTTGTTGAAATTTGATTAAGCAACATTTGATTATTTTTGGTATACTATAATTTTAGTAAGATGTTTATAACGTGAATTTTCAACCATATACATTTTATATCATCAGGATACATGCCCTTTTTACGCAAAATAGTTTCTTAGCTTAACTACATTGATCAATTTTTCTCATAAGTCTTTAAAATATCATTAAAATTACACCGAATCCGAGTTAATTTTCCCAAAACTTGGGAATATGGTTAACTGTGTACGTTGAAGGATCATAAATAAATCTTCCGATCGTATGAAAAATGAGAAATAATATCTTCAATTATTTTAGGTATATGAACTTGAAAGGAGATTTAAGCAGCAGAGATATCTATCAGCACCGGAACGGGAACACTTGGCCAGTCTAATTCATTTAACCCCAACTCAGGTGAGTAAAACTTTAGTTTTAGTGTATAAAATGAATTAACATAAAACAAGAAAGGAAGCAAACTTCGGCAAGCCGAAGTTTATATACCCTTGCTGTTATTACAAATCGACTACTGCCTACATTACTAAAATCAATGAAGCTATGCCGATTTTGGGCTGCATTTTGCCATTGATTCTATGGCAGCTATATGATGTTGTCGTCCGATTTTGACAAAACTAAAAGCGTAATTCGGATTTTGTAAATAATTAATAAATCTCAAAAGAATATTTTAATAAATAGAAAAACAGCAAAATAATTGTTTTTTTAATTTTAATTTTTTTAATTTTTTGATTTTCCTATTAGAGCTATTTTATACAGATGTCTGATATTAATTTAAATAAAACCGTAATTCCATAGTATTTAAATATTACCAAATCTGAAAGAAAAACAAAAAAAAATTAAAACAACAAAGTTTTACTTCTTCACATATTTTTTCCGATTGTTCCTCTGGGAGCTATATTATATAGTCGACCGATCTGGCTCGTTCCGACATATATAATACCTGCAAAAGAAAGAAACCGTTTGGGTAAGTTTCAAGCAGATAGCTTTAAAACTACGGGACTAGTTAGCGTAGAAACGGACGGTCGGACGGACAGGCGGACGGACGGACACAAGGACGGACGGACACAAGGACATGGCTAGATCGACTCTCCGGCTTTAGTGTCGGAAATTTGACTGTAATTATAACACCCTCTGCAAGGGTATAAAAAATGCTTATTGTCGGTATAATGTAGCGGCAATTCACGAGCGTCTCAGCCTTGTGGAGGGTTTTTTCATGTTTTCTTAATCAGGTAATTCTGCGACTAGCTCGCTAGTGCTAGTGAACTGTAATACTTTCCGTTGCCTATAAGTCAAATAATTAAACCAATTACACATGCGGAAGATAAAAACACAACACTACTTGTCAATTTTGTTTGCATGATATTTTAGGTGATAAATTTCGACATGAAAATAGATGCCTCAAGAAACAAGAAAGGACTGGTGATGCTGATCAAGAATAGATATACTTTACTTTCACTGCGTTACAAACTTTTAACTGAAATTATAATACCCTCTGCAAGGGTATACAAAAGGGTGGCTAATTTACATTTCTTTGTAAGAAAAATCGCCGATTGCACTTGCTGCTGATAAAGTTTTAACTTTCCTACTTGAGATCTATTCTTCCATAGAGGAATTTAATCCCATAATGGAATGACGCTAATAATGCTCTTGTCATATTTGCTGAAATTAAAAATACTGCTATAAATTATTATATTAACATCTTATGAGCAAAAGAGGAAAACTTAATATTTGGTCGTAGCCCTTAAATTAAGATTTATATTTATTTTAATTTTTGTATCTAGACAGCTCAAAATAAATTCTGATAAATTTTAAGTATATTGCTTTAGAATATCCCAATTTTTTCAGGATCTATACAAAAAGTTGTATCTCGACCACTTAAATTAAACTGTTAAAAATATCATGCCTCCCATCGGTTACTTTTGAGGAACGAATCGGTTCAAAAAATTTACAAATTGGATAGGTTGCATCACGCTCGTAGGTACAGTCGCTGCCCTGTAAGATATATTTAAGAGACCCTTTAATTTTGACACTATTGATTCGGCATGTTTTTTGTGAGTAACGGCACTTCTCGTATTTAATAGCATTTCTAACCAGATGCCGTTTTTTTGGCATAAAGTCGAAAAATTGAGTTACACAGCTCAAACTTCGCACATTTTATTGTTATGGCATTAATAATTTGTGATAAAACAAGAAAGGAAAATTTACTTCGGGCGAAGCCGAACTTGAAATACCCTTGCAGAATATTCTGTAAGTTATATTCTCCAAAATTATTCATATGATGCATTCTTAACACTCATAAAAAATACCAACTTCCTAACTTTAAAAACAACAAAGTTATGGCATTTCCAATCGTTCAGTTATATGGCAGCTATAAAATATAGTCGGCCGATCCTTATGAAATTTGGTAGCTCGGATTGATTGGCCTAACTTAACAAACACCGAAGTTATGGCATTTCCGATCAATCAGTTACATAATCGATAGAAAATTCCAACTTCCAAACTTTACAGACACCAAAATTTCCGATCAATCAGTTGTATGGCAGCTATAGGATATAGTCGGCCGATCCCGGCCGTTCCGACTTACATATATACTGCGTGCAAAGGAACGATGGGTGTGTGTAAAGTTTTAATTCGATATCTTTAAAACTGAGAGACTAGTTTGCGTAGAAACCGACAGACGGGCATGCTTATATCAACTCACTGCGTTGCACACTTTTGACCAAATTATAATACCCTCTGCAAGGGTATAAAAATTGGAACAGGGCGACCACGTCCACTCTTGCCGCCGCTTCAAACTCATTGATAGTAGATTTGGAATAAATATATATTATTTACTGTTCTATTTAATTACTTACTTATTTTTTAAATGCAATTTACTTGCTCATCCAATTCAATTTTATAAATATTGATGACGATGAGAACGTCATCAGAATCGCACTGCAGATCGTTTTCAGATCGTTTTTTAGCTGTAGACTTAATACCTCTTTTGAGAAGGGTTTTTTTTAATATTTTCTCTCTCTTTCCTTTAGAGAAACACTCGAAAATAATAGATCAGAGGAATCTATAGCTCTGTCAAATATATCAGTCATAGTATTGAGCCGACTATTTTTCCTTGAATGCGACAATCTATCTTTTTTGTAAACTTTGTTGCGTGCTTCAGAAGCATATCCGCCTAAGCATCCTAGTGAAACCAAGCTCGAATTATTAATCTGGTAACCATGAACCAATATTTTATGAATTGTTGGTGACATCGGATACCATGGGTAGCTACGCATATATAATGGAAAGTTGTTTCACAAAATAATCGAAATTTTTCCAAATTTATATACTAAATGGAAGAAATAGCGATTAAAATGGGCTAAAATTTATTTAAAAGATCTTCGTTGAAGTTGGTAATAGATGCTAGTAGTTTAGTATTGGCAAAAACTCTCCTAGCCGTATTACCAACATTGCTATTGCCGCTTCCATTCTCCTTTGGTATGCTTACCCGAAGTCCCATTTCGTTTCAAATCTTTTCTGGAACATATTTTTTTCCGTTTGCTCATTGAATCTTATCATAACCTTTTATATGCCATTTTTATACCCTTGCAGAGGGTATTATAATTTCAGTCAAAAGCTTGCAACGCAGTGAAGGAGACATTTCCGACCCTATAAAGTATATATATTCTTGATCAGCATCACCACGAGAGTCGATCTAGCCATGTCCGTCTGTCCGTCCGTCTGTCCGTCCGTCTGTCCGTCTGTCTGTCCGTCTGTCCGTCCGTCTATCCGTCCGTCTGTCCGTCCGTCTGTCCGTCCGTCTGTCCGTCCGTCTGTCCGTCCGTCTGTCCGTCCGTCTGTCCGTCCGTCCGTTTCTACGCAAACTAGTCCCTCAGTTTTAAAGCTATCTGCTTGAAACTTTCCCAAATGTTGTCTTTCTATTGCAGGTAGTATATAAGTCGGAACGAGCCGGATCTGGCGACTATATCATATAGCTGCCATATAACTGAACGATCGGAAAAGCCATAACTTTGGTGTTTTTAAAGTTAGCAAGCTTTATTTTTGGCCTATTAATCCGACTTACCGAATTTTATAAGGATCGGACGACTATATCCTATAGCCGCCATATAAATGATTGATCGGAAGTGCCATAACTTTGGTGTTTGTAAAGTTAAGAAGGGGATTTTCTATGGGTTTTATCTTTGGCCAACCAATCCGACATACCAAGTTTCATAATGATCGGCCGACTATATCTTATAGCTGCCATATAACTGAACGATTGGAAATGCCATAACTTTGGTGTTTTTAAAATTAGGAAATTGGGACTTTTTATGAGTATTAAGAATGCATCAAATGAATAATTTTGAAGAATATAATTTACAGAATATTCTGCAAGGGTATATCAACTTCGGCTCGGTCCGAAGTTAGCTTTCCTTTCTTGTTTTATTTCAATTTTATATGAAATGTTTAAGACAAATTCAAGACAATTCTAAACTGCAAAGCTCCAGACTTTGGGACAAAAAGTTCAGAATTAAAATCTATTATTTCTAATATTTTTGTTGGAGTCACACCACAGATCGGACAACATTGAGTAGATTTAGTTGTAGTTAAAACGTATAGCACTTTTCCATCAATAAGTGTCATATGCATTTCATACGTTACTGTTATATCACGATTTTCATTCAATTTATAAACAGAAGGTTTGAGATTATTAATTTGAGAATCTAAAAGGTTCTTTTCCATCTTTATGTGGGCCATAGTTTCTTTTACTAGTTCAAATTTCAGAGGTCTACACAACCGTATAGATGGCGTTGTTCTATTATTCCATATCTTGTGATCAAAAGAGTCTATAATTTGTATGGGTATAACAGAAGTAACAACAAGAGAGAATGCTATAGTCGGGTGCCCCGACTATCAGATACCCGTTACTCAGGTAAAGGGAGTGCGAGGGAGATGGAGATAGAAACTTTGATCACGCATAACTTTTTAACGAATGGTCCGATTTGAAAAATTTCTTCTACATTTCGATAGGTATTGATAAACACAATAAAATTCTGTGCGCAGTATGATCCAAAAGGTTTTGTAATGATACTTGGGCGGCCGTTCCCTTTACTTTTATATCTACAGGACGGCATTGTAATTTAGATACCATTACTAAACTATAGGTTGGTTAAATGTTCATGCATGCTGTTTTGTAGGGGATTTTTCCAGGAGGAAAGCCAAAGCTTCATCGGGTGTAAGTGGAATGGGATTTTGTATATCAAATTGCTTTCTCGATTCACTTGAGTATTCGGGTGTTGTAATGGTTATTAAGAACAAAAGCCGTGTCCGTCCTGCTTTGTGCCTTTGCAGATACTGCTACAGCATGTGCAAGAAGATTTGTGTCACAATTATTTTTATTTGCGAGGTCATATGCAAAT